ACCAATTAACCTACTTTTAAACAACAAATTAATTTTTATTTAAAATTTTACACAATTGTGACAAATGTGAGTTATGTTCAAATTGAGACTTAAAATGTGTGCACTGTGCAATTAGCTTAATGTGACTTATGATCATTTGCCTCCGGTGTACAGATATGTATTCTGCAGTGTCTATTAATTAAATATCTGAAAGATTTAATGGTTTGTTGCAGTTTTCCTGAACATGATAATTTACATCGGAATTGGATTGTAGCTACAGGACGAACAGATTGGACATCGAAATCGTCATCAAAAATTTGCAGCAGACATTTTAAGGATAAAATGTTAATAAAAAAGAAGAAACTTACTCTTATATTACCTTATGCTGTACCAATTCTGGTAAATATTCAGTTAATGACATATTAGTACTATCTAGTACAATTATCTTGTTAGTTGCAAGCATTATTTTGTGCATTTTAATAGCAATAAATGACTGTGACAGGCTTCTTTTAGACTCTGAACATGATTCAAATTTAACTCGTTCAGAGTTTAAAATACTAAGAACTTTAAATTAAATTTTCTGTAAAAAGCATCTTTCTACACCTATTTTGTATTAATGAATGTATTAAAGATAATTAACTTTTAGGAAACAAAAGCCTGTATTCCAACATCTTCCTCCATCAATTTACATGAAGAATCCTTATGGAAATTGATAATAATTTATGCATTCGTGTAAGTAGGTAAACAGTATTAAATAAAAATAATATTATTTTTCTTCGACCCAATACAAAATTGAAGGGTTAAGTGGACAAAGGTGTAAACTAGCAAACAGTTCTAAACAACTAATAAGCGTTTTAAATTAATAAATAATCAAATGAACATAGGAACTGAAGCATATAGTTTTAAAATACAATATTAGTTGCAATACTTAGATAAGATTGATTATATTTGTATATATAAATTATGTGTCACATTGTTTGTCCGTGATGGACTCCTAAACTACTAAACCGATTTTAGTCAAATTTGCACACCGTGTGCAGTTTGGTCCAACTTGAGAGATAGGATATTTTTTTTATGCCCATGACTGATCTACAATTTTTTTGCGAATTTAAGGATTTTTAATAGGACATGACAATGGGTCGTCGAAAAGAGCAGAACAACGTATGCCTGGCAAGCTAGTTTTATATAATATATTGAAAAGTAGGTAATTCTATGCAAATTTATTTAAAAAAAACGATGAAAATATGGACACACACCTTTTGGATAACACACCTTTGTTTTCTATAAACCATATTAAGTTTAGTTAAGAAGAACTTACAATGGCTCTATGTGGTAAAAAATAACAATATTTATATGAAATAGTTTTATTATTTAGAAATAGGTATATGCAACATGCATGAACTTACATACTATTTATTAATTACTGAGAATTTAGAATATTTATGTAAAACACTTGACATTAATTTTAAAGTTGTTTTTTTTTTGTTTTATGTATTTGTGCTAGGTATTACTATCCCCAAATCGTATTTCAAATTGTTAAAATCCTAAAATTGATGATTTGTATCTTCAATTACCGAATTTTTTTTCAATGCCATTCTAATTATATTTCTGTAACTATTAGTGTACTTACTTTTACTTTTCTTCAAGTTTTTCCAATACTATTTTTATTACGGGGAAGTCAGAGAGAAGATGCAAGTGTAAGATCCTTACATATTTTGTTCTTTAGGTTATTACTTCTTAATACTGCGTGCTAGGTATGGTACTACCTCCCCTCTTCGAGATTTTCAAATGGTTCGAAAGTTAGTTCGTCTAGATTTTAATATTTACTTTCGTCTATATATTTTCTTCAATCCATTCTTCACTCATTCGTTCAACGTGAACCATTGGAGTAAGCCCCTATCAATTTTTCTGATAAGGTCATCTTTCTAATACTATTTATTGCGAATCTTTAGTTTCGAATATTTCGGTCCTAAGGTAACGCCTACATTAATTTTACGAAGATCTCCTGATTTTGCTTTTATGTTCTTCTGTACCTTTCGCTGCCAGTATAACTAAGTCGGTACCAAAATCGTATTGCAAGGTGCACTCTTCACAGCTTGCCTTTTTAAAATGCTCAGGGCACCATTGACTTTGATTTGGCAGCACACGTATCCACATTTACAATTACTTTTCCATGGCACATTCTCAATTATATTTCTGTAACTATTAGGAGTAAATATATTTTCTTTTCTTCTTAAAAGTTTTTCTATGCGGCCAAAATCTTTCTCACAATCTAAAAATGTGTGAATAAGAACTTCTACACTACCTATTTTACCACAGGCTTCTGTGTAAGTGCAAAAATAAGACCTGTGGCCATCTCTACTAATGATATGAATACCTTTATTATAAAACCATATTTGCCTTAAATAAAATGCTTTTGATATGGGAATTTTAGGTAGAGGCTGAGTTTGTTGTATGTCAAAACTGATATATTTTTTATTTTTTTCCACTAATACACATGTCTATTTCTTGTTTTTGTAACTCAAATGCTCTTTTATAGTTATCAATATGCTCTTCAGTGTGTGTATTAGAATCACATTTGTTACACACATCAGTTTTAGGTTGTTTATATTAAAGCAACATTTTGTATTGAATATATTTCTAAAAAGCACCTTTCTACACCTATTTTGTATTAATTAATGTTTTAAAGATAGTTAACTTTTTTTAGGAAACAAAAGCCTGTATTCCAACATCTTCCTACATCAGTTTAGATGAAGACATTACATCACTTTGGAAATTGAAAGTAATTTAAAAATTCATGTAAGTAAACGATATTAAATTAAAATAATATTAGTTTTCCTCGACCAAAAACAGAATTGAAGGGTTAAGTGGACAAAGGTGTAAACTAGCAAATAGTTCTAAACAACTAATGAGTGTTTGAAAATAATAAATAATCAAATGAACTCAGGACTAAAGCATATAGTTTTCAAATACAATATTAGTACCAATACTTAGATAAGATTGATTATTTTATATATTATGTTGAAAATAGGTTATTCCTTTATTAAAGGCAAATTTATTTAAAAAAAAACAATGAAAATATGGACATAACACACCTTTGTCTCCTATAAATCATATTAAGTTTAGTTAAGAAGAACTTATATTGGCTCTATGTGGTAAAAAATAAAATAACATTATTTATATGAAATAGTTTTATTATTAAAAAATAGGTGTGCCACATGCATGTACTTACATACTATTTATTAATTACTGAGAGTGTAGAATATTTATTTAAAACCACTGAGGCTCCTGGTGCTGTAATATACATTGAATACATCTTTTTAACAGAAATTAATGGATTTCGATAATGTTTGTAGATATTTTGAGTAAGAGAATAATAAGAACTTTCAGATGGAAAACTTCTAATATGATAGCATTGTACTGTTTAGGACTAAATTTACAATAAAATACGGATTACGTAGCAAGCAGTTCAATAGATCAAAGCAGACTGACAATTCTTTCCCTACCAGCTTATCTTATTATGTTGTCACATTTTTAAAACACCACACAGTTCCCTCGACCAATAGTAAAGAATTATACAATTAAATGTAAATTACACTTTATAAATAGGATTCTTATTTCTAGTAGAACGGACAACCCTTGTATACTCTGAAATTTCTACCACTATTGGTATGGTCGAACAGTACCGTTTATCCTAAGGACGGATCATAAGCCCTTACTATTTACTAACCATTTTCGGAAACAAAAAGAGTATACCTGACATGGCGGCTAATCAGCTTCAACGTTACGCGAACTATTTATATGCCTATAATTTAACATTAAAGTATGGTAGAAGTGACAGCAATGTGGCTGATTTCTTATCACGGTCTGTAAATCAATTGCAGAACGAAATTCATAATGAATGCTCAGATCTTTACAAAACATTGTATAAATAACAGTATATTAAAAATTGTATGTATTTATAGATAACTCAGTTTTAAAACCAATAACTGTGGAAGATATAAAAAAAAGAAACATCCCGAGATAATCTTTTAATAAAAGTGAGGTACTGGCACCCATTAAGGCCCACTTAATTTGAAAACCTAGTGAAATTGACAATGAAGATATAAAGAGAAAAAACTTCAAAGTTTTTTTATTGAAAAATACAAAATTCAAAAATTTGCGTTGTTATTTTGCATGTTGATAGAAAGAAAGACTATTTTTAAAATGTTAGTAGTGGGCCATCTTAGGAAGGTGGTCACCGAACAAGGTCCGTAATATATTAATGTAAATCTACGCTTAACCTATATTTAAATAAATTTTCCTTCCAATACTGGTCTGGATATACAGGTTTCAATTAAAATTAATCAACAAAGTCGAATACTTACAATTTGGCTGTGGGCCATCTTAAATCTATCGAAACTTAAAATTGTAATAAAACGAAAATGTCTTTCTAAATTGAAGTATATTACACATGCAGAGATTTAGTATAATAGTTGGTAACCAAATAATAAGCAATAAGTTCTTTATTCTGTGATCGATTTTTGAGCAAACTTTTACCTGGGCCTTGTTAGGGGTATTGAAAATCAATTTGAATTTACTTTGTTTATGGATAACCTAATGGGACACTCTTGCCTTTATTAAACACTTAAATAAACAAAATTAATATTTCTTTATAAAAACATCAAACGAAACTAGAAAAATCAACAAACAAGTTTAGGAACTTAGGATATCTTTTTTAATTCAATTTTGGAGGCATAGTGAGATGTTTAGTTACACTCCAGACACACGAATTGTTTATCTTCTAAAGTTAATCCCACACATTCCTCGTGATACCACTTTTTACATTCTTGACAATGGCGCATAGTAGCTACTTTGTCTATCTCACATCCATGACAATACCAACCGACATTGTCAGGTGATTTGGAGATCTTCTTACCATTTTTTACAACATTCTTACCCTTCATCTGTGGTTATCCTTCCAAATACTTTAGCATTTTTTCTATTTTGATTTTTACAATTTTTACCTCTATCCGTGCAACTCAGTCGTCCTCCATCTTTTTTTTTTGTTTATTCCTAAGTTGTTTTTTAGTGTTTTTCTTTGTCTTCTCTTTAGCAATATCAAACAAATCTTTAGTAATTTTTTGACCTATATAATTAAGCGCCTTTCGTCTAGGTTTATCTTTGATTTTTCCAAAATTTGGTGTTGGAATTTGCTTATGGAACTGTGATTTAGAGGCTAAAGGTTCAGGAACGTTCTTTAATTTTAATAGCGGTAAATTATCTTCCGAATCCTCAGATTGAATTTGCATTTGCTCAGAGATTGGTAAAAGTTCTGTGAAGTTTGGGTTTAAATTTTCTTCGTTTGAATCGGAAGATGAAGTGTAATTATCAATGAGTTTTGAGGGATATTGAAAATTCTTTAAAAAAGTAGTAATACCTTCTTCTTCAGAACTATCAGATGTAATAGAATTCAACCTCGGACGAGGCTGTATTACTACTAGTTCCGGAAGTAGTTGGAACAGGTGAAGAATATCTAAAATTTATGTTTAGAAAAGGTTGCATTTGAAGTTGTTCTTGCAAGTCCATATAGGATTCTAAAGAAGGACTGTAATCAACTAGCTTTGTAATATGATTTGAAGATTGCGGATTTTGTACATTTTTTTTATTCTATGACACCTGTCCATTCATTAGCAGCATTTTCAGTTAGAATCGATAAATTTTTAAGATTTTCTTCACAATCAGTGACATCTGTATCAGACATATTATCATGTCTTGGTGATAAAAGAGAACTTCGAATAATAGAAGTCTGTGATGCTGACATAATATCAGATGTGGAATCATTTATACTTGAAACATTTTGTTCTATATCACATGGATTGGTCAATTGCGTTAGCGCTGAAGGCGCATACGCTTCCTCAGGAATTGCATTTGGATCATACGGAAAAAGCCCGGTCGCACGGAACCCATTAATTATATTTTCTTTGGTTGTACACTTGGACCAAACCTTCGTAAATATTTTGCTAAAACGCGTTTTCGTAAGTTTTCTACATAGATGCTGATATGCATACAGTAAAACTTCTTCGTCCCAGAAATGTTCGTAAGATTTATTAACTGATTTATCAAGGGGTTGTAGTTCATGTGTAGTACTGGATGGTAAACAATAAAGCACAATGTCATGAGCATCAGCAGCATCTACGATTCGAGCATCCAAATGGGAAGAGGCCCCGTCAAAAATTAACAAACATTTTCCCTGAGATTTAAATTGTCCCAGGTGGTTAATAAATTCAACAAATAGTTCGGTCGTCATGCTTCCCTTCGTGCCCATCTTTACTAAAGTTCCGGGAGGCATATTATCGCAAAACTCTGGTCGCAATCTTTTGCCATTAAAAATAACCATTGGTGATACACTATTTCCTGTAGCATTCACGCACATAGCAATTGTTAAATTTTCTGCGTGTTTTTGGGCAACGAAATGCACCCGTTTGGTCCCTTTGGCAGCAAATACTTTGCGTTGGTGGTGGATTGTTGATCTGCACCCCTTTTCGTCCATATTATAAAGACGCGCCGGATGATTACAAATATTCAGATTTTCATAAATGGTTTTAATGGCATTAAAATGTTGTTGCACAATATACTTATTAAGTTTCTGTGCTCTTGCCGGATTCATTAGTTGAGCCCTGCGAAGTAAAATTTCTGGATTTCGTTTGACAAAAATTTTCAACCATTTTTTTCCAGCTATATTTTTATTATCATTAAAAGAATTTGGTATACTATTTGCCTTACAAAATTCATAAGCTTGTTTACGAACTATTTTGGAAGTCAAAGGCAGACCGACCTGAGCAAGTCTAATCACCCTTTTACACAAATCTTTTTCTTGTGTTTTATTAAGAACTGGAGTGCGACCAATTATCTTTTTTGTAGATCCAGATTTAATATGATTTCGTAATGTACGCCTTGGTATGTTAAACGTTGCAGCTGCTTTTCGTTGTGACATCTTTCCTTTTTGTACCGCTTCAAGAGCCGCTTTTAGTTGATTTTCTGTCCACTTCCCCCACGCTGTTTTTTGTTTTGTGACGCCATTTATACCTACGTTAAAAAAAACTTTAGAATTGAATATTATTTATGTAATCTACCTTAATGATAATTTTATAAATTCTTTTGACTTTTGTAAACATTTGATAATTGCATTTAATTAAAAAAAAATAAGCATTAGAAAAGCATCAGCCTCATGCCGTCCACTTTAGGTCGTAGGCCTCGTAGAAAATATTTAATGTCAAAATTCTTACCAAACCAGTTAATATCTAACCAATGTTGTATTTAAATTACCAACAATTTAGTATATAAATAATGTCTATAATACTTAAAACACTATTAATTAGAAACAAAACTAATAATATACTTTTAATAGTCTTAAGTAGGCCCAGGCCATGTTTGGTACACATTTAGTGGGCTTTCATAGGAAGCATTACCCCAGTTCAATACAATTGCAATAAAATACTAGAAAAGTTATAAAGCAATAAAACTCACCTTTTATTTGATGGCAAAGAAGTTAATTGTGAAGTTTATCACGTTAACACAAAGTTAAACTTCTTATTTTTGATAACCTTTGAAAAAAAAACTACTCTTCGTATGTTAGAAAACGTATAGCGCTTTGATACTACTGAGCAAACTTTTTGTCACACTCAAAATGGCGGCGCGCTGACAGTCGGACGTAGTTGCAATTTTGTCTTTGGCTGCCGTCGCATATTGCCCGCGAAATTTTAAATGGTTTTGGCAACCAAAACTGTTATATTTTAAAAGTGGGCCATAATAGGAGCCGGGCCTTCTTCGGTCACACTACTTGTTAGAGTTTATGCTTAAAGCGTGACCTCGAAAAGTTTCAGATTCGTTATTAAAGCCATATTTTCTTTGTCAGTCAGAGTTAGCCCTAGAAAGTGGTTGTATCCTGCGGGGCCACAAAGTATTCATACCGTCAATATTCCGCGAGCAGGTATTAAACGAACTACGTTCTTCACACTTTGGCGTGGTAAAAACAAAAGAGCAGGCCAGAACCCGCATGTGGTGGCCACATATAGATAGGCATATTGCGGAAAAAATAGGGTCGTGTTCAGTTTGTAATAAGTTTCGATGCGCACCTCCGCGCACACCTCTCGCTTTCTAGGCCCTACCCGGCACAGGTATGGGATCGTTTGCATATAGATATTTTTCGTTATATGGTACGAACTTTCTAATTGCAGTCGACGCATATTCTAAGTGGGTAGAATGCTACCAACTTACTAGTCCAATAGTGAGACTATTACTTCGTGGCAAAGCCTTCCAATTGAGCCCAGTTTCGTCAGGTTTATAAACGTTTTCTAGAGCAAGATCTTCTTGTTTCAATACATCGCATAATTTGATTTTAAAAGAATCATCTGCTTAACAATCAGCAGACAGTTTTTCTCTTTTTATTTGAAGATCACGAATGCCAGTCTTGACTTAAACCGTTTTTAACCAGCTCGTACTTGCTTGAAAGTTCGACGGCCCTCCAAGTTTTTCATTAAATTTATTGCTTTTTTACATAGAATGGGATCAGAGATAGGTTCTTCTTGTGATTTTTTTTAATGTAATTCACTTGTAAACAGGGACATCGAGATCGGTGTTGGTGGCGAGCTTCATAATTTTACGACTTGTGGATCCATCAGTAGAATTAAAATTTTATATGGTCGTCTTTTGGTTTTTTTTATCTCCACTTTGTACTCATTAGATAACTTGATTGCTGATTCGTCTTCCTCTAATCGTTTGTTAATGTCGTATTTATCTCTCATGGAAATAACAACACGTTTACGTTTAGGTGTCTTAAATTGTGAGCTAATAGAGTAAAATTGAAACATAAGCGTTCAGCGCTATCGGTACTGAACGTAGGTTAATCACACATCAATTTAACATAGGGCACTGCGCGGGGAAGCTACAAGCTAGAAGCTAGTAGCTAGGTAGTAGTTCGGATATGCGGTCGTTCGGTTGATCGACTTTCGGATAATCGACGCTCTACTGTATTTAAAAAAATGATTATTTTTTCATTTTTTATATTTACGTTATACACCTGTTTAACATATTTCGAATTATAAATTTATCAATAAATCTATACTTACAAATAAATAAAACTAGGGAAAAAACTAGGGAAGTTAATTAAGATTTAGTGAATTTGTTTTTATTTATTATTTAGAAATATAAGATTTTAGTTAGACTCATTTTCCGCCATGTCTAATCTAATACCCATATCGCTCACGCTCTGTTGCACACGGTGAATCTAGCCACCAATTTAAAATATAAAACTAATACTTAGATGGAATACAAATTATAACACTGGAGATTAAAGATAATACAACCGTTGTAAAAGAGGATTTGAAAAAATATGACTATTTTACATTAGCAAACGTAACCTATAGCTCAGAACACCTTTGTTTATTTCTTTAACATAAATTATGCTGTTCTTGTGAAGAATCAGAAGATTTATTGATTTATAATAATTACCTTATATTATTCCAAAAGTAGCAATGATAATGATTGTCTGAAAATATTTCCGCTGATAGCACATTTTCAAATCTGTTTGGCAGTTAACACCTTTGCTAGCGTCTGTAACTATGCACGACGCAAGCGACGAGATACCTGCTTAGTGTAACCAGCACTGGTTGAGCAACTCAGGGGCGGTGGGCGGAGCCACGGGGGTCGCGACCAGCGAGGTTCGACAACTAGCGAGGGTGCATACAACAACACAGAAAAACAGCCGTAGTCTTGGTTATTGTATTTAATTTGTTAAATATGTATAACTTATATTAATATAAGATTTAGAATAAGATAATAAAGAAAGAATGATGTTGTAACTATGCAAATAACTCTCCCAATAAAGGCATCGAATAAATAACGAGAGTTAGCATAGATTTAAAAGTATAAATTGTACTCTTATAATTAATTTACCTTTGTTGCATATCACCTTTATTGTATACATATTACCATTCATATAAATTACCTTTCTTAAAATAATTATAACTTTATCAGGGCATGTTATTGTGATGCGGCCGCGGAATTAATGAAGCTACGCGTAGGGCGTCACGACGTTTTATATTTATAGTGCTGAGGTGCGGGGCAGGGTTCTCAGCTTAAAAATTGTAAATTACAACCTTTTAAAGTAGAAGATAATTATTGTGTACAAAATAGTATAAGAATTAGATGTAAAAATATTATATAATTAAATATGATTGTCAATAGATAAAAATTTTAAAGAAATAAAGAAAGGCGCGGGGGGTGAGGCAAGGGTCCGCTGGCCAGCCGTGGCCGAATCATATAAAAGACGGACCGACCGGTAGGGTCCGTCGTCACTCTCCAGCCACTGAAAAGGCACTGCAAGAAGAATAAAAGTACAAGTTCCTCCTCACCGCCGCTTGCCTCCTATATAAGAACAACGCGTTTTATTCATTTTTCGAACGGCGTTACGGCGATCCGTAACATTAATGGTCCTTCGAAGAGCCGAATTGAGAAGCAAACCGCAAGAACGAAAAAATATTATTTTGAAGAAAAATGGTGATTACGCGTAGTAACAGCGGAGAATCATCGAAGCGTCGTAAGGAGGAACAGACGACCCAGGGGGCCACGGAAGAGACCTCCGGGGGCGAATCAGCCACAAGTGGCTCATCAAACACCACTAGCGAAACCACAACGGGCAGCGATACAACTGCTACCTCTGCGACCGATAAAACAACTGCAACGGAAGAAACCCAGCAAGAAAGTGATCAAAGATCACAGCGTACATTAAAGCCGGGCGAGACTAGGTCACGCCGCTCCGTAGTCTCACGCAAGAGACTCCTCGCGGAGTTAGAGGCGAAAGAGCGGCTAGCCGAACTCAAGCTCGAGCAGGCCCGATTGCAAGCAAGAACGGAACTACAAGAAATACACGTGCAGCGACTACAAGCAGAAGCCGGATCAACCGAGGACGAAGAGGAAGAAATAGAGGACGACTTAGCATCAGTACGCATTAGTACATGGTTACAAGAAAAACCCACATCACAACCCGCGCCGCAACCCGCGTCACAACCCGCGCCGCAACCTGCACCACAACCCACGTCACACTCCGCATCACAACCCGCTCCGCAGTCTGCAACACAACCCGCGCCGCAACCCACGTCGTACTTCACGTCGCAACCAGCACCGCAGATCGCACCACCCGTACTTCAACAATATGCACCGCAATACGTTCCACAACATACCGCGCCGCAGAAAGAAGACTATGGACAGGCGCAGCAACAAATCGACGTCGCTACCTTAGCCGCTGCTCTATCACAAGCAGTACGAAGCACAAGGGAGCCGCCGAAATATTTGCAAGAGCTGCCCACATTCAATGGTAGCAGCAAAGAATGGCGCAGCTTCAAAACAACCTACGAAGAATCTTCAAAGTACTTCACGATGAACGAAAACATAGCAAGAATACGCCGAAGCTTAAAAGGGATAGCAAAAGAGGCCGCAAGCTGCCTACTTATAAGCCAATCAGACCCCAAAATAATAATAGAAGCTTTGGAAAGGAGATTCGGACGGCCAGAAGCATTAATTCGCTTAGAAATAGAGAAGCTGAAGCTGCTGAACAAAGTTACGGACAATCCCAGGGAGTTATGCATATTCGCCAATCGCATAGCAAACGTAGTGGGCACCGTGGAAGCACTCAAGAAAGCACACTATCTACATAGTCTGGAGATGACGCGAGTTATCACAGACAAACTCACGCCCATATTGAAAAGCAAATGGTACGACTATGCAGCCAGGAAAAAGAAGATATCCCAGAGCTTAAGAAAATATCAATCTTCCTAAACGAAGAAGCGGATAAATGCAGCGCGTATGCCTTGCCGGAATTCATCACGGAGGACAACGAACCGAGAGAGCGAAGGCCGAGAAAAATAGAACGCGCCTTCACCACGAGCAAGAAACAATATGAAGAACGCTGCCCTCAATGCAAACAAGAACACAAAC